AATGTATAAATCATTGGATAGAATTTTCTTTCTTTCAGTGTCAACGTCATTACCTTAAATTTCTTCTCACTTTTTCTAAATTGAACAATACAAATATATTATGAAATAGTTATGAGAATTTTTCCTTTAGTGTAAGGTGCTTTATTTCTAATCCAGATTATTTTACAGGATAAGTAAATTCAGCTTTTTGTTTCTAATTTCAAAAATACAAAAAGAACATATTTACAAAGCAGGAAAGAAAAAAATTAGTGTTTAAAGGACATTATGTATCTTGATTTGTTTCTGGCAGCCAAAATGATCCCCTCCCCACCCCCATACACAGGACAAAGTTGTAAAGCTGAGCCCTTCAGAGCGTGGGCATCGCCTTGCACACCAGGACCTTGAGTTCATTAGGTGTATTGTCTGCCAGTAATAGCTTAGACTTCAACAAATACTGTAGATTGAAAAGCTTTATGCAGAATTTTGATCAACTAGAAGCCATTAAACAAAAGGCAAAATAGCCTTTAAGGAAGTAATTAAGTCTGAGTAGCCTAACTATTTGATAGGGCGAGTAGTAGTATAGGAAAGGCACATAAATTAGGAAGACTTCGGGCATCAACGCCACAGTAAGAAATACTAACGCCATGAATATGTAGGCTGTAATGGCTTACTTGTTTTTATATGCGGTGATTGCTTTCAATTTTTATCAAATTATATAGTTTTTAGTAAAATTTGACGTTACATGTTTGTTTTCTAGGATTCATCTAATCGATGAGTTTAACACCGATATGGATATCTTTGTATTTTTGCTGTCAACAAAAGCTGGTGGATTGGGAATAAATCTGACTTCCGCAAATGTTGTTATACTTCATGACATTGATTGCAATCCTTACAATGACAAACAAGCAGAGGATAGATGCCACAGAGTAGGCCAAACTAAGTAAGTGCTTTCAGTTTAATTTTTTTAATCAGATGTTAGTTTAAGTGATATAGACTGTTAGAAGATAGTATGTTGGTTATCATGCCTTGGTTTTTATTTTTCATCAAAATATGAGTACTAATTGCTTACCACCCTTACTAAGTGAACGCCATTATAGTTTGATCTGTAAACAGCAGATAATCTGTGTCTTCATCATGGAATGGTATACTGTATTTTTGAAAGACATCCATAAATTCACTATGGAACAAATATTTATCGGTATTGAATGTGGTACTTTACTGTTCTGTTCTGTACAGCATTATTTTGCAGGGCGTGATAAGCAGGTTTCTTTTGAAAATGTAATGTCTGTGTGAACACAGCACTGCTTGTTACAGAGTACAAAGATCTTGTTCTCTTGAACCATTAAGAAAGTTTGTATAAAAGTTAAATTATCAGAAATAACATTTTTGTAATTTATGAGTTATTCTTGTTGGACTCTGAAATATAGTGTACAATTATCCAGATTACTTTTTGTTTAATAACCAATGCACAAATATCATTTACTTTTTAGAGAAGTACTAGTTATAAAATTAATAAGTCAAGGGACAATTGAGGAATCCATGCTAAAAATTAACCAGCAAAAATTGAAACTTGAACAAGATATGACCACAGTAGATGAAGGTAAGTTATTTGTAAGCTGCAACGTTAGTCTTTTTATTACATGACCATGCGTCCAGTCAGCCATCTTGAGAGGATAACAGAGGTGACCAGCAAATTTAAATATTACGCACTTTAGCGATAACAAGAAAGAAAAGTGAGCATACTTAATGTCACAGTAACACAGTAAGATCCATTTTTGTTAGAATTGATAACAAGCACAAGCACTTTGATTTTTAAAAATCACAGCCCTTTCATCTCTTGCCAGAATACTTAAGAAATAAGATTAAGGTTAGGACTGTAGTTTTATTCACAATGTTATAATTTTATGTGATTGAGTGATTGGTTGATTGATTGATTGATTTGAAAGGCAGAGTTAAGGAATAGCTACAGTGACCAGATCTGGATCACTTTGGAAACTAGGAACCAGGAGCTCCTTCTGGGTCTCCCACATGGGTGCAAGCACCAAGGACTTAGGCCATCTTCCTCTACTTTCCCAGCGCAGTAACAGAAAGCTGGATCAGAATTAGAAAAGCCAGGACTTGAACCGTCACCTGTGTGGGATTTCGGCCTGCAGGCAGTAGTTTTACTTAATATACCACAGCATCGGCCCCCATAATATTATAATGCGCATACCATAAAATCTATGAACTCGAGATTTAAAAGTACATGGCATAATGTATTTGATGAGATAATTAGCTTTATTAAAAACAGTCCTAATATTTATGTTAATTTAATTTTGACTTGTAAATATGAGAATTTATTAAGGTTGAATTTATGTATTAAGTTGCAATCAAAGCATTTATAACTTTAGTTTTAATGTGATAATGTTCACTTTTTGGATTAAAGCCACTAGATCCTGAAGGAGCCCTCAATAAATTATATTTCTCTTGGGGTCTGCATTTGATACAGTGGTTAGATTGCCACTCAGAATGCCCTCATCCCACTTCGCAGTGCCTGGATCCTAATGTTGGTCGATCCTGTTTGCAATTCTAGCTTTCTCCTAAAGAATGGCCTGGGAGGTTGCAGGTGCTGGTCAACCACATGGGAGACCTGGATTCAGTTCCTGGCTCTTGGGTCTGGGCTAGAATAAGCCCTGGCTGTCCTGCTATTTGGGAATGAATTTGCATGTGGAAGATCTTTTCTCTGTCCATCGTTTCTCTACCATAGTTTAAAATTTAAAATGTATGACAGGGCCTGGCGGTGGGGCCTAGCGGCTAAACGCCTCGCCTTGAACACGCCAGGATCCCATATGGGCGCCGGTTCTAATCTCGACAGCTCCACTTCCCATCCAGCTCCCTGCTTGTGGCTTGGGAAAGCAATCGAGGACAGCCCAAAGCCTTGGGACCCTACACCCATATGGGAGACCTGGAAGAGGTTCCTGGTTCCCAGCTTCAGATCGGCGCAGTACCAGCCGTTGCGCTCACTTGGGGAGTGAATCACCGGATGGAAGACCTTCCTCTCTGTCTCTCCTCCTCTCTGTATATCTGACTTTGTAATGAAAAATAAATAAATCTTTTAAAATAAATAAAGAAATAAAATGTATGAGAGTTGAAAACTTTGGGAAAATGCAATTAAAAGATATGTTTATCTTGTTGCGTAAGTCCATACATAGTTTTCTTCACTTTTTGTGAACATTTTTAGTGCTAAGGTATATTTACAAAGAGGAGAGGAAGATCTTCCCTCTACGAGTTCACTGCCCAACTGGCCACAATGATTGGGATTCTGCCAATCTGAAACCAGTTTTCTCCGAGTATCCCACATGGGTGCAGAGTCTCAAGGCTCTGGGCCACCCTCTGCTGCTTTCCCAGGCCACAAGCAGGGAACTAGATTAGAAATGGAGCAGCCAGGATACAAACTGATGCCCATATGGGATTCTGGCACTCAGAGGTGGAGGATTAACTAGTTGAGCTATCGTGCAGGGCCCTACATGAACTTTTAGAAAACCCCTAGCACTAATATACAAAATTTAAGATAATGAAAATTATAAATTCCCATGAAATAGAATTACAAACTAATTAAATTCACTTTTGAGAGTGCTACAAATGCCCAGATATGGATTTTATCCTAATAATCAAATTTTAAATATGACTGTGACATTTAATTATTGAGAGAGCCAAGTGATTGTCAGACTCCCCACTTTTTGATTAGTCTTTCTCACTGGACTGGTGCATTTCCTCAGAAGGTGTGCCTCAGTCTCTCGTGATGGGAGAAGATGGGAAGGAGCCACCTGACCACCACATTCCCAGGGTGGAGAAGTGCAGGCACTGAAGACTGTGGTTATATTCAACAGTAAATTCTCCCTACCTCTGCTCATCCTTACCCTTCTCTGTTATCCTAAATCAGATTCCAATTCCCCATAGGCTAAACCTTGAGCTTTGTAGCTCTGCAGTAAATAGTTGCTTCTCTTGAGCCACGTTTATGATGCCTCTTCACCCTGTTTTGTCCTTCATATGTTTCGTAGTACCCGTTTGCTCAGCGTTAGGGACAGATTCTGGCTAGGCTGTCCCTTGCACTTCCTCCTGCAGACGAAACTTTTACTTTTTCTATTACATCAGTTTTCTTCCATCTGCTTTTCTCCTAAATTTCTTAAAATTTGTTGGAGTAGGAATGGTGTGCTGTGTGTATATGTGTGTGTACGCACTTTCTTTTTACTTTTCATTTAAATCTTCCTCTGTTTTTGTCTTTGCCATAATGTTAATGGTTTTTCACATATATTTCCAGTCACTGTTCATGTGAAAGTGATAGAGAGTTGAAGTTCTTATGTTTTATTTTGTTGCATTTTGTTTTTACTGCCTTTAAACTTAGAAGATTCTCCTCCCTTTTTTTTTTTTTCATCTTTCTCTGTATCTCTCCTAGCAGTAGCCTCAGTTAATACAGTAATTAGCCACAGTTACACAGGGTAATTTATACCAAAGAATATTACAAAAAACTGAAATGTCTAGGTACTAATGTCTCAATTAAAACTTGAGCAGACACGGGATGGAAGGTGAATTGCAGTGGTGAATTTACTCTGTGGCTGGCATGCAGAGTGCAAAATTTTTGTTGTATAGATTAGATCTGGGTCAGATTATGCCTGAATTTCTTCTCTAGTTTTCTCTGCATCTCTTAAAGTTCTTCAAAAACTTATGTTTTTGTTTTTGAAAGATTTACTTATATATTTTGAAAGAATTACAGAGAGAGGGCAAGACAAAACAGAAGTGATCTTCCATACACTGGTTCACTCCCCAAATGGTCACAGAGGCCAGAGCTCAGCTGATCTGAAGTGGAGTCAGGAGCTTTTTCTGGGTCTCCCACATGGGTGCAAGGGCCCAAGGGCTTGGGCATTTTTCCCTGCATTTCCTAGGCCATTATTAGCAGGGAGCTAGATCAAAAGTGGGGAAATAAGGACACAGATTAGCTCCCATATGGGATGCCTGCATCACCAGCTGTGCTTTACCCACTACTAAGCAGCACCCACCCCTACCTTACAGTTTTAGATAAGTGCAAGAAAATCAAATGTGGGGGGATTTGGTAGGATTTGGGGGCTTCGGTGTCTATTTTCCCTGCTCAATTTGTTTAAAAGATGTTTCAGTTTGCAAGTGGAAGAAGTAAATACTATGTAGTATATGAATTAGATTATTACCTGAAGTATCTATAATATGTTTTGTTATAGATCTATATCTAAATATAATGTCAGAGCCATAACCTAAGATTGGTATGCTGAAATATGAGTGAGAGTGCAGAGTGAGCAGCCCTGAGATTGTAGGGGTTTGGGAAGGTTGCTGAACCAGACTGGGCCTTCAGAGACGAGTAGGGATTTGCCATCAGGAAAAAAAAAGATGATGCATATTGCAAGAAATAAGCTTTTTTTTTGCTTTTTTTTTAAATTAAACTTCTCTTGCACTTTCTGACCTGCAGGTGATGAAGGGAGTATGCCAGCAGATATAGCCACATTACTAAAGACATCAATGGGCCTGTGAATTACAACTACCGATGCCTATTTGATAAGGAAATATCAACTTGGTGCCCTCAAGGACATTTACATTATGATGACCATGGGGTTTATGAACATTTATACCTTTTTATAGTTTCCATATTGCATTTCTCATAGTATGGACAACTTTCTTGCCACTAACAACTCTCCAGATGCTCACACATGAGATTTCGTAAAAAGCCACAAATATGTAGTCCTGAAGATGTGGAAGAATCATTTTACAAAGCAGTTTTCTGAATGGGGATTAGTTGGTGATTGTTTGTAACAAATATGCTAATGCTTTAGAAATGTCAGTATTTTTGTAATTATTTCTACCTCCAAATATATATATATTGTCTTTCACTGGATAATGTGTGTAGATTTTTACATGTGCCTTATTTGACAATGCTTATGTCTTGTTTTTGCTTGTGTCATTTGAGGTCTTGTTTTATTATGTTAGTTTAAAGAACACAGCTGTATAGATGATACCGCTTTCATTTTGTTGCTATTTGAAGCAGATGTTCACCAATGTCAGCAAGAACTCAACCTGAATTTCAACGTGGCATTCCATACACTAGCATCCCCCAGGTCCTCTCAAATACGTCGGTTCAGACAGATTTGTTTGGTTAAGGCACTAAGTTGTTTTCTGGTGAATAGTAACTAAAGCCCTCCTCTTGTTCCGTGAATTAATTCTTTCTGTTTGTTTCCCTCCTGCACTAATGGTGCTTCTTAACCTGCCTCTTCTTGTGCATGTTTTCATTGATTTCCCTCTCCTGGCTTTTGCTTCTCTTAAAAACTGTTGCCCAGTCACTTCTGCTCCAGTTCTCTTCCTCTCTGAACACTGGCTCCTTCCTGCCACATCCCCACACATCAACGAAATGTTGGTGACATTTTTCTGTCTTGGCAGAACAAACTAACTTTAAAGCTATTTCACTTCAAAGCAAACTGGATGTGACATCATGTTAAGGCAGCATTAGGAACTGCATGGAAATAGGTTATATTACCTTAAACTCTTATCAAAATATAATTTACCAGTTTCCAGAATTTTAACTACAGGACCGCCTGAAGAGAGAGCCATTGTTTAATTCCAATTCAGTGTGGGTGACATAGTGAAATTTAGAAGTAAAGTTGTCTATTTGATACTTAACTTTTTATTAAAATCTTTCTTTAAAAATTTGCCTGTCGGGGCTATAATGCTGTTTTATTATACATTCTTTGTATAACTTGTGAGTTTCATGTGTTTTGTTTTTATTATGTAAATATTGTTATAAATAAACTTATTTATAAATCAGAGACTTGTTAATTATTGGAGACCATACTTTCCAAGGCATCCTAACTTGCTAAGATGCTAGGTAGTAGAACTCTCTGGACTTAGAACATGAATAAAACTCTTAAAGTGGTCCTTCAGCTATTACAAGCTCTTACAAGCTCGTGACTCAGTATACTTCCCAAACTTCAAGTTATGTTGAACACACTGAATATGTCTCAGTGTCATAGGGCTAAAAGAAATTTGAAAATGTTAATACTACCTCTTCTTGCATCACCGTACCTGTGTCCCTTAGTCAAATTGTTAAATATTACCTTTTAAAAATCAGACAATAGATTCCTCATAATTTTTCTGTATTTCTGTGTTTTCATTGGTAGACTGATTCTTTTGTTGTTGTTGTTGCTACATCTGCAATTTTATTTCAAATGAAATGTAGTTGGCTTCTCCCTGTAATGCTCTATTGTGTCTTAGGCTTAATAAAAATATTTGTGATTATAAGTTGTATTTTCACAAACAGTTTGCAACCCTCTGTCACCTTACCCTTGAAATATATAATATTGAGCACAAATGCTATCGTCTTATGTGCTTAATATTATCTGTTGATCAATAAATCGGGATTTATCAAGGACGATTCTCAACTGTCACTTCATTCGGCTAATGTTTTTAAATGTCTCAGTTATCAAGAAAGATGAGCAACCATATGTTGAAATAATGTTACCCGCCGAGGAGCTTTATAGTTCCTAAAGCAGATCACACCAGGGGAGAAGCCATGCTTTCGGGTGTTTTACGTACTTGTAACTTTATGCCAATACATATTTATGCTGAAATATTTTTATTGTTCCTAGTATTTGGTTTTCCTGTATTTTTGAGAGAACAAAAACATCCAGAAGTTTGGTTTCTGTGTAACTTTTAGGCTGAAACTTAAGCAATCCATAGAATAAAGGAATTGCTGCTTCTGCTTCTTATTCCCAAGATGTTTTTCTTTTTTTCCCTTCTGAAGGTAATTACACAGTTCAGCTTTCCCTGATGGAACCTTACCCTTTGTCTTCCTCTCCAAACAAGGAAATGTTTAATTGGGGAGAAGGGTGGAGTAGTAGAATGTTTGTTCTGTGAAAATGGTGCCCTAAAGATGATGCTGAAATTAACATGCCTTATAAAGTGCTTTGTGTTTTATGTTTGATTTATGATTTTAAGCACATAGATTGTGTTGAGTTTTCATATTTTTGAATAAACATTGTATTCATTACATTTATTAAATTGTACACTCATTAAGAATTAGAAATATAATAATGTGGATGAAATAGCCATGTATGAAGAGGAGGAAAAGTTACTTGTATTATCTACAATACAATTGGAATTTCTTTGTTAAATGTAACATTCTTTCCTATATAATGTATTGATGACATAAGGGGAATGAAAAAGCGATTGGTTCACTTTTATTTACTCCTAAAGATACTTTTTTTGAAAGGAAAATGATCTTCAGTCTTTCTTTTTAACACCCACAACACCAGGGCTGGGAGCCAGGAGTTCTGTCCATGTCTCCTGTGACAGAGGCCCAAGTAACTGGCCATCCTCCACTGCCTTCCAAGGCAGGAAGCTGGATCAGAAGCAGTGTCCAGGATTCGGACTGGCCCTCTGATGTCTGGCCATGGCAAGCAGCAGCTCCCCCTGCACTGCAGTGCGTGTCCCGATCATTCTTCTTTTTTAAAGAGTTATTTTTATTGCAGAGTCAGGAGAGAGAAAGATCTTCTGTCCAATGATTTACTCCCCAAGTGACCACAGTGGCCAGACCTGCAGTGATTCGAAGCCAGGAGCCTCTTCCGGGTCTCCCACACAGGTGCAGGATACCAAAGCTTTGGGCCAGGATTAGAACTGGAGCCCCTATGGGATCCTGGCATGTGCAAGGTGAGGACTTTAGCAGCTAGGCTGCTGTGCCAGGCCCTCATCCCTATCATTTTATCAGCAGCCTTTAGTTTGAAAGTTTGATCCAAAGGAGGGTGCTTGTGAAATACGTTGTTTCTAGGATGTAATCCTTAGTGGTTTGTATAAAGTATTTAGCATTTTCCCCAATTTCACAGGGTTGTTGAGTGGAAAGGAGCACCTACAGTAACAGCACACCTGGGTGCCTTTTCTCATTCTTTTGCACCCCATCTGTTTCTATGACAAGAAATACTTAAACATTTCTAATATCAAGCCTAACTTTGCTATTTATTGTTAGTGGTTTATATTTGGGGGAGGGGTGTTATTTGGAAAATTCCGTTTAAATGACTTGTTGCCATGCTTGGTTCTTGTTTTGCACACAGTAGAATGGGACCAAAAATGTGCCTTCAAGTTATAACTGTACAAACGATCTTAAAACATCGGGAATGGGCCTTCGTGGTGCCTCAACATGATAATCCTTCACTTGTGTTGCTGGCATCTCATATAGGAGCTGGTCCTCGTTCCAGCTGCTCCACTCATGTGCAGCTTCCTGCTTATAGACTCAGAAAGCAGTGGGGGATGGCTCATGTTCGTGGGCCCCTACACCCACATGGGGCTCCTGGCAGATGTAAGGCAAGGACTTCAGCCAGTAGGCTCCCAGTGCTGCCCCTCCCCCCCCCCTTTTTTTTTGTCACAGCCAACTTGCTCATTTATGTATGGTCACTTTTATTCAAGTTCCCTACCTGCAGATCTATTGCCTTTTGAACTGCAGCAGTATTAAAATGTCAAAGTTAGTTCTTTCTTTTCTTTTGTAAAGAGGAATTTATGCATTTGAAAGAAGAGGAGGAAAAGTGCTGGCTGACTCCCAAACAGCCACATCCTGGAGCCTGGAACTGCATTTGGGTCTTCCACATGGGTGGCTGGGGTCCAAACATCCGGGCCATTAGCATGCAGCAGAATCAGACCAGCCAGGACTCCAACCAGTGCTTAAAGGCTACTAGTGTGCAAAGTTTATACTTAATTGGGGGAGAATTAAATTCATGCATATTAGAACCAGGGTAACATGCCATCTACCTATATTGTAAACTAGTTTTCCTCAATTATAAATGCCATGAAAATATTCTAAAGAAATTTTATTAAGCATATATAGAAATACTAGAAACTTAATGCATATGTGTTAAAAGCAGGAAAACAGCATAGCAGAAGCCAGAGGCGTGTTGGAGGTCGGAAGTGTGGATTGTTTGCTGAATTGGCAGGACAGGTGAGTCTGGCCTGAGAGATGCTGTGGAGGCAGCACATCCCAGCTAGAATCTGGTCTGGGGTCTCTGCTGAATCCAATTAGCAATGGAAGGAAGGGCTTGCACTCTCTTTCGTAAGGTTTCCAGCCTCGGATGCATGTCCAGCAAGTCAGGTTTCAAGAGTAAAAGAGTGGTACTGCATATATCCCAGTAGAAATCTGCCCAAGTGACCTGGTTTACAGAGGGAAAAAACAAAAGCCTCTTGATTAATGCATAAACTAGCAGCATTTCAAAATTACAGTTCCTTCAATCTAAAAGACATTTTTTAAATTCACAATTTTTGTTATTACAAAAGCAGAATGTTATGATAGAAATTTGGAAAATTACAGGTAACATCCCTCAAAAGCCAGTAGTTGCTATTAACACCTTAAGATATAAGGTGTTTTTCTAGGCAGATGATCAACAGAAAAGAATGTATTCCTAGCAAGCCGATATCATGGCTCAGCAGGCTCATCCTGAGCTCTGTGGCACTAGCATCGCTATGGGCAGCAGTTTGTGTCCTGGATGCTCCACCTCCTATCCAGCTCTCTGCTTATGGCCTGGGAAAGCAGCTAATGATGGCCCAAATGCTTGTGAGCCTATATCCATGTGGGAAACCTGGAAGAGGCTCTTGCTTTCTGGCTTCAGGTAAGCTTAGCTCTGGCTGTTGTGGCCACTTTTGGAATGAACCAAAGGACGGAAAACCTCTCTCCTCTTTGTTAAAGAAAATAAATATAGAGGCCCAGCACAACGACTCAATGGCTAAATCTTGACCTTCTAAGCACTAGTATCCCATATGGGTATCAGTTCATGTCCTGGCTGTTCCGCTTCCCATCCAACTCCCTGCTGTGGCTTGGGAAAGCAGTTGAGGATGGACCCTGCACCCACGTGGGAGACCCAGAAGAAGCTCCTGGCTTCCAGCTTTGTATCAGCTCAGCTCCGGCATTACAGCCATTTGGGGAGTGAAAAAGCAGGTGGAAGATCTTTATCTCTGTCTCTGCAAACCTGCCTTTCCAGTAAAATCTTTTAAAAATAAATTTTAATAAGGAAAAAATGTATTTCTAGAATGAAAACATATAGTTCATGATGCTCTGAGTCCTTGGGCCCTGAACCCACTCGGGAGTCCTGGAGGAGACTCCAGGCTCCCGGCTTTGGACTGGCTCTGCTCCAGTCATTGCATTTATCTGGGGAATGCATCTGCAGATGAAATTCTCTCTCTCTCTCTACATATATATATAGACTCTCTGGTCTATAACTCTGCCTTTGAATTTAAAAAATAAATCAATTCTTAAAAAATAAACTCTGGCAGTAGTTGTGTTACACTCTGCTTCTCGTTTATTCTGTCCATTGTGGTTAATGTTCCTGCTGCAAGTTAAATTGTTCTGTCTTTGCCCAAATGCAAGTCAACAGAACTGGGCTTCCGAATCCTTTGGCTATGACTCCAGTTTGGACAATGGCCAGGGCATCCCCACCTGGTCTTTACATTGTGCCAAACAGAGAAAAAGCCATTTTGGCAAGAATCTCCTTCATACGGCAGCGAGCCGAATGTGGGTGCTTGCGGTTTGGTCGTGGTTTCAAGAAAAGAGCCACACAATCCTTTGGTTGTCTTAGCTAGGAAAAAGGACAGATGAATTTAGACTGTTACCTCTAAGTCAGATTCAGGAATGCCATATTAACTTTACTTATCTTAAGTCTTTATCTCCCTTCCCCTAACTGAAGATTGTGGTTTTTAATCAATCACATCTGCATAATTCCTAAACAGTTAGGTCTGAGGCCTGCTGAAGTTAGGAGCCAGGGAATCCACCCAGATCTGCCACATGGGTGTGGTACTTGGGCCGTCTGCTGGTTTCCCAGGTTCCTTAGCAGGCAGCAGGACTGCAAGCAGACCCTGAAGAATCCAAATTGGTGCTTCTGTATGAGATGCCAGCACTTCAAGCGGTGGCTTGACCTACAACACTGGCCCCTACAAGTGTTTTTTCTTAAGCTTTTTTTTTTTTTGTCTATGTTTTCATTTAAATATGTATCTGCATATTTACTTCTATTTTCTACGATATAAAATACTCACGGAGTTACCAATGAACCACTCTTTTTCTCCTAAATATGTGTCCAGATCTTGCAGAAGGTGAGGTGCTTCACCCGTGAGCAGCTCTTGAAACACCTGATTCTGGGAAAGAGAGAAAAGATCACTTTAATGAGAAGAAAGATAAGCCATGTGATTTGCAGAGCAGGTATATTTCTTCATCTTTATTCTTCCACGTGAGTTCATAAATGCAGAAAAGTTTTTACAGTTTTAAAACTGATGACATTAGGGATGTTGATCTGTTTATCTGTAGGTGCTAGTCATCCATCTTTTAAAAACAAGATTTTTTATTTTTATCTGAAATGCAGATTGATAAAGTGAAGGGGAGACAGAGAGGAAGATCTTCTGT